GGAGCGAACGAGACGTGGACACTGTGCGGGGGGGCAAGGGTCTACTGACGCACCAATCACGCACTCGGCTCGGCGTTGTCACACACCCCGCGCCCCGCTTGCGTACCAGAGGCATCTAAAATATGACTTCTGCGCATTTAACGACTCTTGCCAAGTTACGTGCCGGGGTCTGTAGGTAAGGCGTATTAGTTAAGAGCCTGTTCACTGTAACTTTGAAGACACTTAAATCATAACTGGACGGTAAAACCGTTGCAGGCAAGCTACTAGCGTGGTATAAACGACGAAGCGACCGGATGGTAATCTCAATAATCAATTTATGTAGTTCCCGCCCACATTCTCCAAAATGTATCCTATTAGAATACCTAGAGACTGGCTATGCCTATGCTCCAGGCTCTTTAGGTTGGTTTTAGCCAAATCCGGATCAACAATCAGTCAAAGCTGCCAAGTGGCATTTTGCAGGACCAGCCCATATGTTGCTGCAGTACCTACTCCACACACGACCGGGTTTGTGCTTCACCGTTCCTTCTTCTGCCCCAGGCTGAGGTCGTGGTAACTTATCGTGCTTGACCCGCAACTCCGGCTAATGTATAAAAAGTCTAGCATATTACAAACTTTTTTTTTATTTCGAGGTTATCCTCCAAGATAGGTACAGTTTCTTAGGGCGAAAGACTAGTATGGGATTTTTACCTCACCATTACTACCATGACGATCGAATTTAGCACTTGAAACTGGCACCTAGTCTTCTAGGCTCACCCGGGATCCTCTTAGTGCACATTCCCAGGGAGACTTGAGCCTCGATGTACACGGTGACGCGTGACAGCTACCGTCTTCAGGTCGCTGGAGCTTAGAGACTTCACTAGCATTGGACTCTCTTCCTCAAACCAGTGCGGAGTTTTCGGAAACAGTAGGTAAAGTCCTCTAAGTAAGATTGGAATAGAAGGGTCCTCGACCAAGCGAGGTTAGGATTTTCAACCCGCGTTTATTCGCGCGCAAACTTCACTTGGATAATGTAGGACTTGAAACGCCATCTGTTGAAAATTGTCGTCGACCTTTGTGCGTCGCCACAACGTAAGGGCCACTGCCACGGGGCGAAAATATTGTAAGATAATTTAAGGGAAATTATATCAAGTGTTTAATTTTTGCTGATTCCAAGTAAACTTTTATTTTTGGGTGTTACAAAACCATTAAATATCCTAAAACTAATACAATAAAAAGGAAGACGGGAGACTCAACTCCTTGGCACCTCTAGAATTTGTCGCCATATTGCTTCAAACTGCCAGAAGCAGTTGATACCTAGTGATCGTACCTACAATCTTAAGGCGCTTGAGAGAGCTACATCATATTTTAATAATCTGATCTCACCATTATTTGTTAGCAATGTAGCCTATTTTGCAGCACAATTTCTATATTTAGATAAGTTTGGGAGAGCCATGCTTCGGCACGAATGGGTCGGCTCGACCGGAGTGATACCACGGCCTCACAGAAAACCGGCGTGAAACAACCACAGTGTTGTGTTTCGCCGTATGAGTGAGGTTACCGGAGGCCCAATCTTTCCCCTTCCCCAATCCCTCCCCAGTTCCTAAGTCTCCAAATCCCTAATCCCTAAAAGGTCGGCAACGCACTCATAACTCCTCCGTTGCGGGTGTCCATGGGCGGCGCTAATTGCTTACCATCAGTTAATCCGTCTGCACGTTTACATAAAAAAAATATCAGCAAAATATTAATATCTCTAGTTGGATAGTTGACCATAGACTCTAGGTATAAAATATACTGTTTTTATTTCATGTTTTTGACCGTCTATGTCTATGTTCTATGTCAGTCTAATGGGAATCGTATCTGCTGACACATCGCTCGGCAGCCGGTTACCCAGGACAGGACCAGGTACAGTCATCGTGCAGTCAATGCTTGGCTGAGCTCGTTCAGTTGTTACTTGAATTATTAACACTATTTTACAAGTCAATTCTCAGGTCTATTGACACCTGTGTAGGTGTATTTTTCTTTTCGAACCAAAAGTTCAGCAGTGATAGCTTCTGTTGTTATCAAAAAGTGGCGCAGGATTCTTAAAGTTGCTATGAGAAGATAATACTGAATTTTGAGCACTTGAAGCACATAATTTGGCAAAACCCAATTAGAGGTATAGTCGTGGTGCCCCGTTAAGGCGCCCGCTTCTCATGCACGAGGGGTACGAAACCTGGCAAGTACCAATGTGACTTTTTCCGAGTTAAATGTACTCTCTATGATTATTTAGACACCACTGACATAGGTACGGTGAAAGTGAACATCGTGAGGAAACCTGGACTTATAATTTCTAATAAAAGTTTGAAATCGCCAACCGGTATTGAGCAAGCGTGGTGATTACCTAATGCTGTAACCTTCTCCGTATGAGAAGAATCTTATCCCCAATTATTGCTTCTAATAAAAAAAATGTCACAGGGAGAATTTATAATTAGTAAAAAAAGAAAATAAAACACAGAATATTCCGTTAAAATGTACTTGTTTAATCATTTTTCGAAATAGAGATCAAATACGATAGGTAATTTTTGCAGATTTTTCTTTTTTATTTAATCAACAGATGTAAGGTACGTATTTAAATCGTTACATTTTAATAGTAAAACAATAAAAAACATACAATTTAGGACAAATAGGTACTTACCTAAACAAAAATTTAAGAACATAACCTAAAAATCACATAATTTTCAAAGGTACATTATATAAAACGTTTTTATTTTTAATTTCTTTAAGACTTCTTTACAGGCGGTCCTTATCTTTCAATATTTTAAAAGTCATCTCTGATTAAGGACAGGATTGAATTAATTATCAACGGTGTAAATAAGACTGAAAAAATACATCTCAAAAGTAACTTTTCCAATGATTTAAAAGTTTGTATACTTTTTACGATATGACAACATTTATTGTCTGTTTTTCAACAAAGGTATAGATAATGAAATATGATTTGTTTAACAATTCTCAAAGTCTACAAAGTAAAACGAAGTCGCTTTCGCTGTCCCTATGATTTTGTTGCGTTTTTTTAATAAATAGATTGATTGAAGAGGAAGGTTTATATGTATAAATTTAATATCCATTACGTGCGAAGTCATACATACTTAGCTTGTCTGACAACAGACTAGAACCAATCCTGTTGATCAATTGACTTTACAATGGTTTGCCACTGGCTTACCTACGTACAATAAACATATTTCAGTTATGCTCAATATAAAAATAAACTTCTGAGAATTAAAATGTATCTATTTCACTCTTATTTCCACCGTTTTACCTGTATCTACATAATAAAAAAACGAATTTAAAAACAATCCATATCACAAGAAATATGTATTTGAAATTGATTTTGTGAACAATTTTATTTTGTCTTACGAACTAAAACTATATAATTTCTTAAAACTATGTAAAATATATCAATTTATATAATCTAATATGTTAGGTATTCGTTATAATTATAGTTTTAGTTTGAACACTAAAACATTTTTACGTTTCAAGTATTATGCTGTGTTGGCAGAGTTATTAATAAAAAATTATAAAAGTGCGTTTTTATAAAACAAAATAGTTCCACGAGACAATGCATAGATGGCGTTGTTCTTAGTATTGAATTCTTATAAAGGTTAAGATTTCATTGCTTTGTTATAAATCTGAATATTTTATCTTTTTTAATCACATTACCAAAGCGGCACATAATATAATATAAAACGCACTGCGTTAATACAACTCGCCATAGTAACTCTTATAATTAACAGACTTACAAACTAAACCAGGATTAACTCTTCGATTTAGTATTAAACAATATTTTTTCCAAATATATGTATTGATATGCGAAAACTGTACCTACATGTGTACCTTATTCAACAATTCTTTAAGCTTCTACCAAAAATATGAATGAGCAAGAATACGTACTTAAAAAAAGCAGTTGCAATGGTACAATATTAATACAAAAAAAAAATTCAACAATCGACGAGACCAATCGGTTGTTTTAACATAACCAAAGTTAAATTTTAACTTAAAATCATAACAACATCTAAATTATAAACTAATGGTACCAATATTATAATATATAGCTAATAACTGACTGAAAAAATTTAGTCATTTGCTTTTCAATTATTTTCGTCGACGCCATTTTTCTCCGTGGTCAAATTACAGTAAAAAAATACTGATATTTCTTTAATTTTAATATTTAACGTCGACTGAATATATTTAATACGATCTTAAGTTCATAACTACGGTATTGTAAGACATTTTACTAAAAAATAATTAAGACTGAACTGATTTTTCAATTGATAGATAAAAGTTACCAGGGGAATCATTATGATGCTGTCGCGTCAGAATGTTTGTATAAGACAGGGACAGCAACAATTTTATTCTCATTTATCTGACTATTGAAAAATCAGCCCAAATTAAGTTTAGTACCTAATAATATGTATTTTTTAGTTAATTGTCTACAATACGGTAATTGTTTAACCTTGTTAATATTATCGCGCCATTAAAATTATACTCAAATCTCTATTTAAATTTCAAATTGAAGTTTTCTTGAATGCTGTATAGTATTTTTACTATAAGAAATTTGGTATTCTGACAATAAAATAAAAAAATAAATCTCAAATGTAACATTATTTATTTTATTTGAATGAATTCTTACAAATTACGGCGCGAAATAATATCGTTAACATACTTATAACAAAACTTAATTCTAAAATCGTGTTTCGCACAACCATTTCTGTAAAAATACATATATTTTTATCAAAAATATTAATTTCATCCATTATTTATATATACAAAGGTTTTTTCGGTTATAAAAGTATATTTTTCATCTCAATTTGAGAGCCATTAATTATTTGATTCATAAATTCGTATTTAAACACGAAATACGTATATTATTGTCAATTCCGAGCTTTTCTCTTCTTGTAAGGTTTTTTATAACCTTAATTTAAAAAATGATTTTAAATAGATAGCGTCATTATCACTTTTATTTATTGGGATTTTAATATAAGAATGATGTTGTATACATTTATCAATCACGAAGTTGGTACGTCCGCCATCTTGAACATAAAAACTTTTTTGTCTATTCTATAACGTCAACAGTTCATTGAACTTTTGCAACAAATTTTGGCGGACTTTTTGACATTTACAAACAAGAATTATTTCAGCGTTATCGTAGTTAAAAAAACTATATTAAAATTGTACTTTTTAATATTATAACTTCCTTATTTGAGCAGTTTTCTTAAAGAAAACTTAGTGAAAGTTATTACTTTTCAATATTATTTTGTAACTAAACCGGAGAAGATAATGAATAGTCCGTTTTATTATATAATATTTATAATTGTTGTCATCAGTTTAGGCATAGCCATTTTTAGGCTGAAATAAACAGTATTTTTAATATAGGATCGTTTACAGTAAAGTTCATAATGGCATGCACTAACAATCTACATCTCGAATAGAAATCAACTTCTTGATCATTCAAATAAAGTCTAATTTCATTTGTAATTGTTTAAGTTAGTGCAAGGAATTATGGACTTTACTAAAGAAATCCAACATTAGTCTCCAATAAACAGGGTGTATAATATTTGTCCAATATAGTACAGGGTGTAACAATTTTGATATTGAATATAAACACTAAATTTTTAATGTTTTTAGCGTTTATTTGCATTTTATCGTATTTTTAACGGCATTTTTTGAGGAAATCTAAAACTTCTTGTGGGTATTCAACTCGGGACTTGTTTTTCGCGGCTGTGCGTGTGAGATCCAAGGGCGTCTTACCACTGTTGAAGAAAAATATAGTATTAAACATTAATTTATTAAAAACAATGACTTACGTGAATTACTGAGAAAAACTCTACTAGTTTCAAGTTGCAACGGGACTCTTAATCATGAGAACCGACGTTGCGGAGCCAACTTGACAAAAACTTGACTTGTAAAGATTTTTTTAACACACCCACTTCTCATGCATGAGGGTGCGGTTTCGAAACCTGGTAAGCACCAATGTGACTCATTCCGAGTTACATGTACTTTCTATGATTATTAAGACACCACTGACATACGGTGAAGGTAAACATCGGGAGGAAACCTGGACTTATGATTTCTAATTATAAGTTTGAAATCGCTATTCCGCCTTGAGCTAGTATAGTGATTAATGCTCAAACCTTCTCCGTGTGAGAAGAGGCCTTTGCTCAGCAGTGGACACTTATAGGTTGATGATGATCTGTGATGGTGTAATTGCTCGCTTTATGCTCGGGTCTGGTTCTGGTCGAGCGGCGAGCTTCCCTTGCTCGCCGTCTCCACGGCGACCTTAAGACAAAGCAGGGAGTGTTTCTATGAGTCTAGGTATGTAATTTACCTGAGATTACGATGGTGTGCCAAATTCTTCCATTCTTTACGATCAATATTTTTGAAAATCATTAGTATCAGTTGTAGGTCGCAGTGGACTGAGTTTACGGCGAGATGTAGCGCCGTGTCACCGCCTTTTAGATCCTGAAACAATTGTATTTGAAGTTAGTAAACTGAATAATAGTAAACTTTAAACCATGTTTAGACACGAATGGGTCGGCTGGACCGCAGAGCAGCCATTGCCTCACAGATAACCGGCGTGAAACAACTACAGGATTGTGTTTCGCCGTATGAGTGAGGTTACCGGAGGCCGAATCCTTTCCCAATCCCTAAAACTCCAAATCCCTAATTCCCAGAAAGCCAAATTCCGCATAGCCTATGCCAATAATATAATCGAGAAAGTTTGTAAACATGGATAGATATCAGTTTCTTTTTTTATTTAATACTGCTACGAAAACGCATCCGAATGTAATTTGGCAAAGAGATAGAATAAAGTTTTTTCAATAATTTTAAACTGATTATAAAAGAAAGAAGTTTCTGAACACCGGTATCTATAAAATTATAAATTCTATATTAATATTATAAAGAGGTAAAATTTGTAAGTTTGTATGTTTGTAAGTTTGCTATTCTCCCGCGGTTTCACCCGCTGCTCAGCTCCTCTTTATCGTAGCGTGATGTTTTATAGCTTATAGCACTCAGGAACATTGTAGCTATCTATCAGTGAAAGAATTTTGGCAATCCGACCAGCGGCTCCAAAGATTACCCCCTATATACAAACTTACAAACATACAAACTTACAAATTTTACCTCTTTATAATATTAGTGAGTATAGTAAGTATAGATATTACTTTATTGCAAATTATTTGTCTAAATGTAATATGATAAGAACCTTAGCTACAGTAACGCGTGGCTGGGTCTGCTAGTATATGTATAAATAATTCTGACAAAATTTTAAACCCTTTCAAAGTAGGACACATCTAAGGACACTAAGACCGACTACAGCTTGACACAGGTCAGTACGTGTTTTTAAAACAAAAAGACTCACCCCCTCAGCGATGTCGAAGTCTGCATGCACGAGCAATACATGAACCGTGTGCAGCCGAGGATTGGCCGAGCTGTGCTGACTGCAGGCTACATGCAATGCTGTATATCCTGCGACAAATTGAAAATACAATCATAAATAATATAAACATACATTTTACAATAAGATAATATTTAAAATTATAAAAATAGGAACCAGCCGGTAGCGGGAGCAAGGTCCAAGCCACCGGTGGGTAGGGCTCCAGACACCGAAATCTCCTCACAATACGTGCCGTTTCAAGGAGAACTGCCTTCTGTATGAGGCCCTTGATCCATCCGCCTAACGTCAGCCTCTTAAGGTGGTTGTCGTGGCTTTTGGGGACTAACCCATTTGCCGACACAACTATCGTCACAATGATAGCCGAGTCCACACTCCACATGTCATAATTATATTACATAACTATTATTATTATATATCTTTATTTAACATATCTTTTTATATATAATTCTGCTGTACGTGTGTACATCATTGAAATCCTCCTAAACGGCTTGACCGATTTAAATGAATTTTCTGTATGCGTTTGTGAGAAGCCGTGGATGGTTAGATTTATTTAAATCAGCCCGGCAGATGGCGCTGATTGCTTGAAAAAGCGTGTGATCTCAGAAACTGCCGTAATTTTGCTGAAATCTTATTTATATGTGGGGGTTTTCAGGGATGGTCCGCTAGTCTATATGTATATATTAAAATAAAAGTTACGATGTTTGGATGTTTGGTACTCAATCACGCCAAAACGGCTGAACGGATCTGAATGAAATTTGGCACAGGCATAGGATAAGCTCCGGAATAGTACATAGGCTACTTTTCTGCCAACATACCACGTTGGCGGAAGCTAGTCTATACTAATATTATTTTTTTTACACGCCTAAACTACTCGTTTGAAACTGGAAAAAGGTCATAGGATAGTTTTTAAACAAAAAATCTGTAGGAAGTCACCATTCCACGCGAACGGAGTCGCGGGCAAAAGCTAGTTATACATAAAAAACACAATTTACCATCAGCGTTGGTGTGCCTAAGTCTGAACAGTGGTGGCTGACCTTCGTAAGGTCTGACCAGCTCGCTCAGTACGTCAGCACAACGGTCACCAGCACGGGCGCACGCTATCACCAAGTTATCGCCTAAAGCGTCCACCTGTAAACAACAATTTATAAAAAAAATATTTAAATACCTACAAAAATCAAGTATCAAAATTATTGCAGTATAAAATAAAATACAGCGCCATCTATTAGTAAGGACCGGAAAACTAGATTTCTGTTTTTTACTTTTACCCGTACGATTTGCTCGGCCTAAAGCAGGAGAAAGAACGGGGGGGTTTTTAGTCAGTAAGAATCTGACACTCTCTCTAGCCTTTCCCTGGGCGGGAGAAGTCTCAGAGCATTTGATGATTTTCCCCTGACAAAAAAAAAGCCACACGATTTTCTCCTATGTCTTGGGTGCGTTTACAAACATACTATTTCACATACACATCACACCCAGACCCCGAACAACAATTTGTAGATCACACAAAGAGTTGTTCCGTGTGGATATAGAAACGCGACGTGCGGGGAAAATCATTAATGACTTCTCAGCTCAGGGTCGGGCGGGAGGGAGTGTCAGACTATTACTGAACCCCCCCATTCTTCCTCCTGCTTTAGGCAAAGGCTGCAGTACATTGTTCCGTTTGCCCCTCAATTTTAGGAATCAATTTTGTTTCTATAATAAATAAAAATAGATTATATTTATATGATGAATTCATCATCAGCCTATAAGTGCCCACTGCTGAGCAAAGGCCTCTTCTCACACGGAGAAGGTTTAGAGCATAAATCACTACACTTCTTCAATGCGGGTTGGCGATTTCAAACTTTTATTAGAAATTATAAGTCCAGGTTTCCTCACGATGTTTACCTTCACCGTATGTCAGTGGTGTTTAAATAATCATAGAAAGTACATATAACTCGGAAAAGTCGCATTGGTACTTGCCAGGTTTCCAACCTACACCCTCATGCATGAGAAGCGGGCTGCTTAACCTTCGGGCCACCAAGACCACGACCACAAATAGATTAATTAGTACATTTTTATGATGAATTACCTCATGGAATATATATTCCCTATTGGCGACGAGGCTCGGGTTAGCCTTGATGGCCTTTCGAATACATTCCACCAGGTATCTGGTCAGCAATGGCCTGTCAGGACACCGGAGGGCTGCCGACTTCAGGATACTTAGACCAGCTGTGGATAGAAGGGGATAGGGTCATAATTAAGGTCCTAAATCAGCCAGGATTATGTTTTGTTAGTCTAGAAATAAATCTATACTTATATACTTATCTATACTAATATTATAAAGAGGTAAAATTTGTAAGTTTGTATGTAGGGGGTAATCTTTGGAACCACTGGTCGGATTGCCAAAATTCTTTCACTGATAGATAGCTACAATTTTCCTGAGTGCTACAGGCTATAAAACAACACGCTACGATTAAATGGTGCTGAGCAGGGTGTGGAACCGCGCGAGAGTAGCTAGTAATATTATAAAGCTGAAGATTTTGTTTGTTTGAACGCTCTAATCTCCGGAACTACTGGTTTGAATTCAACAATTCTTTGTGTGTCTGCTAACCATTTATCGAGGAAGGTTTTAGGCTATAAAACATCACGCTACGATTAAATGGAGCCGAGCAGCGAGTGAAATCGCGCGAGAGTAGCTAATATATATTATATATATTTATGTAATAATAATAAAAACGTATATTGGAAACAATTAGGTTCACACGATTTACAATTTAAACGGAGTTAATAGATACAAAATTAAAAAGCTTTAAACACCAACGAAGGATACACTAAAGCATTTGTTCTAGAAAAATTACTTAACATTGAAATAGAAATATTTATTTTTCATAAGATCCGACTAAAGGTCTGTCTGCACATTTGACAGAGGCTGTCCAAAAGCGCTTTCTATAAAACCTAAACCTTTTTAACTAAGAAATTCAACTTCCAATGGCTTGGTCATGAAGGTCCATAGTCTTGCCGCTTGGCTATGGAAGTCTATGGTCCGGGTCTTTTACATGCTTATAATGATGATATATATTGATTATCGATAAGTTTTTCTTACCATCTCCAACGAATAGAGCAGGGTCCTGTGCCAGTATCCTCTCGCAGATCATTGTGAAGAGACAGTACTCCAGATCTTCTTTCTCAGAGCTCACTGACAAATTCTTAAGGATCGGTTCTAACACACTGGAATTGAAAAAATAAATAAGGTAAGTATGGGAGAGCCAAGCTTCGGTACGAATGGGTGGGAGTGATACCACGGCCTCACAGAAAACCGGCGTGAAACAACCACAGCGTTGTTTCGCCGTGTGAGTGAGGTTACCGGAGGCCAATCTCGCCCCCTCCCCCTCCGCCATCCCTTCCCAAACGTTAAATATTCGCAACCCTTATCCCCAAAAGGCTGGCAACAGACTTGTAACTCCATTATTTTTTTGCCTTCCTAGGTAGCCGACATAAAAAAATTAAGATCAGTTAATTTATGAAGTAGTATTATTTGATGTGCCTCGTTTGGTTACTACTGTAACATATAGATCCCGGACCTTTGGAAGGCGTACGAGGAGCCGAAGCCAACACGATGAGGTCCGTTGAACAGTTTTAATTTAAATGTGATGGGACATCAGCCGGCAATTATCTTTGTATGCACTATATAAGTGCACCCAAGGACAATCCCCGGTTAATGCAGGACTATTTAATTGTGAAATGTGGTAAAAATTTATAGGATTATAGGTACTATGGAAATATTATGGCCCCTGCCCCTGACCAATAGTAATATATTAATTATTAAGAACAAAATTAAGTTACGAGTGCGTTGCCGGCCTTTTACAGGGATCGAAAGATAGATTGGGCATTCGATAACATCACACGGCGAAATACAACCCTTTGGTTTTTAAGCCGGTTTCCTGCGATGCCGTGGTATCACTCCGGTCGAGCCGGCCTATGCAATAAACGTGTTTTTTAATTGTTTTGTTATAGGAAAATGATACGAGGACTTAAACGTTGCCTGATTGGCATTTTACTCGTATATTTAAAGATGACATTGGTTGAAGTCTTGTGAATCATTTAGGATGTACAGTTATATGTCCTTAAGTTGTTATTAAGGATTTCTTGTTTGTTTTTTTTTAAAGATCAGCGTACTCGATAAACTCAGTGTAGGTATGCGATCAACACTTGATATAATAGGTCTTTACCTATGAAATTGCCGTTCTGCAGTACTGGCCATTTCAAATCAAAATAGTTTTTGTTAGGCTAAGGCTAATTAATTTTGTTTTAAAAACATGGGATTCTTTTTCCAAAAGTAGGAAGTCATTTGTTTATTGATTAGTGTTACATTTTCATCGCATTTCAAATCAAAAAAATCGTTTACATTTTTTCATGCAAAACGGCAATTTCATAGGTTTTATTTTTCCAAAATTTTAAACTTTCTCGTTTCATTTTAACAACATATAGTCAAGCGGGTATTAACGCGGAAAGTAATTATTTAAATACCTTGGTAGGCTTGACGTTTCGACCTGGTTGCACAGGTCGTGGTCACAAGCGAACTGAAGATGCGATTTTGTTTTTTTGTGAGGGGAAAATCATCAAATGACTTCTCCCGCCCAGGGCCGGGCGAGAGGGAGTGTCAGACTCTTACTGACTGTAAACCCCCCTGTTTCTTCTCCTGCTCTGGGCCGAGGTCGCGGTGCCTCATTGCGCTTACCCTGCAACCCCGGTAGACTGAAGATGCGATGTCACAGCTCCCTGCATTCGGGCGATGAATCTACCTCCTTATATTTTGTTTTACTACCATACTTTTGATAATTATCGATAATTTAACTTATCGAAAAATTTTTGTATATTGGAAAAGCCCAATGGTAAAGTATAGCTGTGCTTGTTAAAAATTCCCATACATATATATCTTTATTTTTATACATAGTTATGTAGTCTTGGTAGATTAGCGTTGAAAAACCACTTGGCTTGACACATAACCATACAAGTAGAAGTTTCGCGAATAAATTGGACTATGTTTTAATTTTCCTTATGAACCGCTATAATATATATTTTATACATATTTCTTCTATAAGGATGGATTGACGCAAATAGTAATACCTATATAGAGGAAAATGCGTGGTAAGAATTGTTTTTTCATCAATTTAGCTTAGTTAATAACGTGTTTTGTCATTTATTTTAGTCATAGTGTCTTGTTTGTTTTAATTTAGATGGTAAATTGCAAATTTTTGAAATATTTAAGCTTCGAATCCACTAGGTAGATTATGACGCCCGACATTTTGTTAAAAAGTCTTTTTTTGCAGAGAAAATAACATCATGTGTGTGATGCTACGTAAATATAGATTACTTACATAATAAAATTTTATCTATGCTAATATTATAAAGAGGTAACATTTTTAAGTTTATATGTAGGGGCTAATCTTTAGAACCGATGGTCAGATTTCTAAAATTCTTTCACTGATAGATAGCTACAATGTTCCTGAGTAATACTTAATATGAGTATTTTAGTCGATCTATCACTTTGAACGCTGGTTTTTAAAAATCCTGGGATACATTGATATACGGGCGGAAACAGTTTATAATAAAGACTTTTAATTTGCTGTTCCCGACAGGGTTCATGATGAACTTAATTTCTATATACACATAACACCTAATGTTAAGTTATGACATGCAATAAAGGCTTGAGTTTGAGTTTGAAACATTCGCTTTTTTTGTGAGGGGAAAATCATCAAATGACTTGAGTGGAGGGAGTGTCAGACTCTTACTGACTAAAAACCCCCTTGTTCCTACTCCTACTCTAGGCCGAGGTCGCGGTGCGTCATTGCGCTTACCCCGCAACCCCGGCTGAACCTCAGCCCTATAGGGCCCCGTCTGTGGTGGTCTATTGGCTCTTCGAGGCGCGCGCGGAACGCTACGCGCCGTACGCTCGGTTTGAAACATTAGCTGCCACAGAAATAACAGCGTTGTTTCGCCGTGTGAGTTAGGTTACTTGAGGCCCAATCTCTCCCTGTCCTTCAAACCTTCCCAATCCTTAAATATCCGAAACTTATTCCTAAAAGGCTGGCATCAAAATCGTTTAAATAGTCATATAAATGGTATCTGAGGAATAAAATTGTTGCTGTCACTGTCTTATACAAATATTCTGACGCGACAGCATCATAATTGTTCCCCAAATAACTTTTATCTAACCATTGAAAAATCAGCAGTAAATCTATATTTATATTATTAATGCGAAAGTAACTCTGTCTGTCTTTTCTTCACGCCTAAACTACTGAAAAGATTTAGTGAAATTTGGTACAGACATAGTTTGGAACTCGAGAAAGGACATAGGATAGTTTTTATACCAAAAATCTGCAGGAAGTCCTACTATACTAGTAAGATAGAATGATAAAGAAATCCACTTACTTGTAAGCTTCTGTCAGATCTAATTTAGCGAAGTTTATGCACAAGTTCTTCCTGACAGCGGGGTTGACCCGTTGCAAATATTCTTTGAAAAGATCCCTGCACGGTTTCCTTGTAACTTCACAACAATCCTTTTTGGAGAAATTGTGTACGATCTCCTTTTGCATGTCCTTAAACTGTTTCATAGTCATAGACGATATAGAGGCGGTGCGTTCCCGCGCTTTTTTATCTGTGCTTTCTTTTTCTTCTTCAAAATGGGGGATCTCTTGGTATTTTTCGTAATCGCTATTGTAGATTGGGGATCGTTCTGGGGATAGTGTGTATTCAGAATTCGTTGGGTAGAATGATCCGGGTGACGCCGACATAGGGCTGGGTACAGTTTCAGAGCGCGGTGGAGTAGGATAAGTGTATTCTGGATTAACGAACCCATCGTTTGAAGTTGGATTGTACTCCTTTTGGACGTAATTGAAAATGTCCGTGAACTCTTCGTGTCCGAATTGATCTATCGAATTCGGTATTGACTGTGGGGACATATCATAGTTTTCTTCTAATAACTGCATCAAATCATTCTGCTGTATTGTTTTTTCTGCGTATTGCTCCGAATAATTCGTCGCGGATAGTTTTTTTCCGTACTCCATTGACGAATGCTGTTGGTAATCGTATTCTGGTGTGACAACAACCTGTGGTATGGTTTTAACGATCGTATCTTCTTTAATGAGCTCCATGACATCTTGTAGATAAGTTTCCCTGTCATTTTGTAAGTATTGCGAGTTTTTCTGTACTGTTTCTAAAGCTTGCTTCACTTCGGAGAAATTGTCTGTTGTTTGACAGGGGTTGACTAAAACTTGACCACCTGATAGTGTGTGCTTGTTGATTGAACTGATCTGGAAAATAAAATAAGGATTATATTAATGATTTATACTGGATAGTTGGTTATATTATACCTTAAATTTAGACGTTGCATATATTAATACTTTACTGTTTTACGACTGATAGACTAATGCCCGGTTTCCAAAATCCTGATCAATGTTAAAATCAACCAACTAGGTGTCAAATCTATTGTCAAGTCATCTGATTGGTTGTTGACAATTCAGTCAACCAATCAGATGACTTGACAAGAGATTACATTGATTTTAATATTGATCGGGTCCCTGTAGCTGTAGCCCTGTCGAAACGTCAACAATCCAAACTTTAAACGATGATCATAAATGCGAAAGTAACGCTATCTGTCTGTCTTTTCTTCACGCCTAAACTACAAAACCTATTTGCGTGAAATTTGGTACAGACATAGTTTGGAACTCGAGAAAGGAAATACAATAGTTTTTAAACCAAAACTCTGCAGTAAGTCACTGTTCCACGCGAACGAAGTCACGGACAACAAAACCAGTAAAGTATTGATGATTAGTTTTGGAGGTGTTCTAAGCTATATTGCTACCATGATTAAGGGTCAAGCGCAATGATGAAAAGCGGGTCTGGTCTGTAGCAGGATAAGGAACGAATGGTTTTTAGTCAGTAAGAGTCTGACACTCCCTCTCACTCCACACAGGAAGAGAGAGTCATATGATTTTTTCGCCAGAAAAAAGCTATGTTGCTACCGACGCATTTTTTTATATTAAAGGTCGGCAATCGAGTTGACAAATTAGACGGTTTACCTGATGGTAAGCAATCGGCGCCGTCCATGGACGAGTTACGAGTGCGTTGCCGGCCTTTTGGGGATAGGGGTTGCGGGATCCATATGGAAATAAGGATCCGGAAGGGATAGGGGAAGGGGCGGGATTGGACCTCCGGTAACCTCACTCACACGGCGAAATACAACGCTGTGGTTATTTCACGCCGGTATTCTGTGATGCCGTGGTATCACTCCGGTCGAGCCGACCCATTCGTGCCGAAGCTTGGCTCTCCCACACTTATTGGAATTGGATTGGAAAGGATTGGGCCTCCGGTAACCTTATTCACACGGCGAAACACAACGCTGTGGTCGTTTCACGCCACGAAAAATACAGTCCGATCCAATTAAATTACATTAACGTTTACCAAACTTTTTTTTTCAGTTAAGCTAAATTATTTTTAAAATAAATTGTGCAATGTCGGTTAGTAAATAAATAACGGATCTGTGATTCGCATCCGGGTCGTCAAGTGCAACAGTTACGTCGAACGACTAGGTCAATAAGCGTATCATTTATGTCTTAAAATCTATAAATTTTATAAACGACACAATCATTTATTTCCATAAGACTACAGTAAGTGCGGGAGAGCCATGCTTCGGCACGAATGGGTCGGCTCGACCGGAGTGATACCACGGCCTCACAGAAAACCGGCGTGAAACAACCACAGCGTTGTGTTTCGCCGTGTGAGTGAGGTTACCGGAAGCCCAATCCTTCCCCTCCCCCAATCCCTCCTCAATCCCTTTATCTCCAAATCCCTAATCCCTAAAAGGTCGGCAACGCACTTGTAACTCCTCCGTTGCGGGTGTTCATGGGCGGCGCTGATTGCTTACCATCAGGTAATCCGTCTGCTCGTTCGCCGACCTATTACATAAAAAAAGTAGGCACTTTTGAACGTCTAGCAAGGAAAAAGTATTTCAAGAGCTTTAACTTTAAGCGTGTCAGTCTGTCCGTCTGTCCTCTAGTGAAGCTATTTGCTCGTTCCAAAGTGTAGATTCCTATGGAGAAGAACGAGCAAGAAACTCCATGGTTACTCTTTTTCAATCAGTTTTACAATACATTTCTTTGTTACATCATTTAGTCGGTTCTGATATGTGAGAACAATGTAACACTAATGTTCAGGCAAAAAGTACGAAAAAGAAGTGAACCTCAAGGACAACATATTTAGACAGCCTGGAGATGACCAGTCCCAATAGGCGGCGCCCGTTCACGAACATGACACGTACACCAGCACCGCCCAACTCAACCATATTATAGGGAATTGGACGATCCAGTGCCCGTGCCACCGCCAATGAGACCTCTGAGTGAGCATGACAGCTCCCAGCCGACACAAGTACCTATATTCTACAAGTCTTACTTAATTATAATAGGTTACAGGGCACTCACATTTACAAAATCTTAGAAGTTCATCAACAATTAACAACATAGTGTAATATTTAATAATTAAAATAAAAAAAAAAATACTCTAAACATCCTGTGGAGTAGGACCAGCTAGCCTCCAAGCATTTTTATCTTGTATATAATCATTTAGTTTGTAGTATGCTAGTTTACATAAATGTTTCTTTAAACATAATTTAAATTTGCTTTCATTTAAATTTTGAATTTCAAGTGGGATTTTATTATAACATTTAACACAGAAACCCAGGAATGACTTATAAGTCATTCATTGGCATTGGCAAAAGTGCATAAATGCACTTTTGCCAATCTAAATAAATCCAAATCCCTAAATCCGCAAAAGGTCGGCAACGCACTCGTAACTTGTTGTTGCGGGTGTCCATGTACGGTGCTGATTGCTTACCATCAGGTAATCCGTATGCTCGTTTGCCGACCTATCACATAAAAAAAAAACAACTCAAAAAAGAACGCTTGCTTCGAGTTTCATCGTTTAAGCTGGTTGCAGGAGGACCAATCCTCAATACTCTACTAAGTCACAAAAACTGGCAACGCTCTTCCAAGTTCTGTGTTGCTGCGTGTTTCCATAGGAGGCGACAATTGCCTTACCATCAGGGGATCCGTCTGCCCGTTTGCCTAATTATACTATACAAACTACAAACAACCTCTAAAAATGTACAGCTGTATTATGAGAGGAATTTACGGATTGGTCCACTAATATAATAGTGATTTGCTTGATTTAATTCTGCGCTTGGTGGGTGGATAAAAATCACAGTTTCAAAGGTGCAGGTTTTAGCCTCTCTGTCCAATGTGGGGTCCCTTAAGCCAGTCTTACGAAAGTCGCTTGAAGAGCTGGGTGGTGGTGACACATGTTTTGTACTCCACCGTTCCCTTACAGTTGAGTTTTAAGTCCAAAGCGATTCGGAAGAAAAGGAGGAAGAGAAAAAGAAGAAAAGTGAGTGAAATAGTGAAGTGCAGTGAAATAGTGAAGTGCAGTGAGTTAAGTCAGCGTGAACTGTGAGCGGCAAACGGAAGTTTGTGTCAGTCGCCCGGACTCTGCTGGAGAGGAACGCCGATAAACTAACTCCGTGGATGCTGTGACTTGAAAGACAAGTTTAATAGAAGGTCTGAAAACCGGTGTAAGTGCCCCGTAACCCAAGCCCGCATCGTCAGGAACGTGACGTCAGGCTCGTAACATCAAAAATACAAAGCTGACATTTATAAAATAGTAATTAAATTCAAAACGTTCTTACATAATCAATAAGGACTTAAAGGTTCAGTTAAGTTAGGCATCCGATATATGTATTAAAGACGTCTTTACAAATAACAAATCTGTGATCAAACTTATAACTGGGTCGAAAATCGCGAAACTCCATATTGAGACATTTAAGCTCGAGTTACTTTTTTCCACGGATCAGTTGGATGGTAATACATTTGATTCATCAGTGTTTTGAAACATCTAACCAATTCTCGGCTTTCTTAATAAAATTTCAATTGTTCCCCTATTTTTGCTCTAATTTCACATGTACTATTACTATTTGTTATGCTAAAACATCGCCACATCTGTTTTTCTTTTGACGACATACACGGAAACCACTTAACACATTCAGTGCCCCCGACGCGTATGTGCGTGCGAGGAAACGCACATACGCGTCGGGGGCACTGAATGTGTTAACGGATTTTGATGGAGTTTTCACCGATAAATAAAGAGGTTTTTGAGGAAGGTTTTAAATAAAATCAGTAAAAGTGTAACGGTTATAGGCGAGGCTACGGATGGTAAGGTCATTTTATACACTAATTTCCCTTAAACGTCAGAATTATAACGGTAAATTTTTCCTTAAGACTCTACTATGACGTAGATAAAACTTTTGCATAACCTTATTTAAACGAAAGCAAGTTAAGATTGTAGTTGAATTTAAAAAGGTTTTTAATTTTAAGTTTAGAAGGTTTTCAGGCCTCACAGAAAACCGGGAAACCGAGAAACAACCACAACGTTGTGTTTCACCGAGTGAGAAAGGTTACCGGATGCTCAGTCCCTCCCTTTTCCCCAATCCTTAAATATCCGAAACCCTTATTACTAAAAGGCCGGCAACACACTCGTAATTCCTATAGTGTTGCCCATGGGCGGCGCAGATTGCTTACCATCAGGTAATCCGTAGGCTCATTTGCCGACCCATTATGTATATTGTAGCGACATCTATCGCACAACAATAACACCAGCACCAATCACGTGCAAGATTCTACATCGCGCTATAAGAGTTCTCAACGCAATTAGAACCGATACAATATCCCGACAACAACCCTGGGGCAGCTGTAGCCCACCAGACATAACGCCCGTCTGGTCGGAAGATCTTCCCTTTTCAATGGTGGATGAGCAACTTTAAGCCCTGTTCTTCATAAAACATAAAAAACTAGTTAGTGACGCGACTGCATCGGCTTATGTAATAGAAACCATGTAAAAAGGCGCTAGTTTTCTTGTACGTACCAACGCAAATGGCAAAAAAACGAAGCTACTATCGTACCGTCTACCGTCATCCGATCTTAAAGCTGACGTCACGGCAGTCAACTTTAAGCGTATATGCATTTTCAAAATGGCCGCTAGAAGCCTTAAGAGACATCAACAAACCTGTTCGTATAAATATGTCTTGTTACGTATTCAATCCAGTACCTGACCAGGTTTTGCAGGTTCATTTCGCAAATAAAAAACACTAAAACGTTCCTCAAGAATGACTATGTAGCGGTGAAAATAGCGTGGAAATACGTTCTGCAGTTTTTGAGGTTAACAGGAACAGACGCATTTTTGATAGTGTTAATTTAATTTGATATGATAGGTATCCTATTACATGTATTGTTATGATAAGTACTAAAGTCATCTATGTAGTTATTATATATGGAAATAATTATATGCCCAATCTTGCTTCCCACGAAGAAAAGGTCACTATTACCCATTACATCCTATACTTTTTTCTAAAATTTTCTTTAATAAGAACCATCGTCTGGCAGTAACAAAACGCAAGAAAATAGAATTGACAAAAATTGGTTCAGGCGTTTTTGAGTTATGCGCTAACAAACACTTATTACGACGATACATTTTTATAATTCTCTTGATCATGACATCTTGCTGCTTGACAGCTAGACCGATTTCGATGATTTTTTTAATGCTACATTGCAAAGATGAGAAAAGTAGACTGTAATATAGGGAATCAACGCTTTCAATGCTGTACCTAACCTAGTCGCTAATAAAACAATATATGCGAAGCAGGGGTGAGCCGCTATTTTTGAGTTATAATTTTTATGACGAGCGAGCGAGATTACGAGTAGACGGATTACCTGATGGTAAGTAATCAGCGCCGCCCATGGACTCGCGCAAAGGGGGAGTTACGAGTGCGTTGCCAACCTTTTAGGGATTAAGGAGGGATTGGGGGAGCGGAAGGATTGGGCTTCCGGTAACATCACTTACATGGCGAAACACAACTCTGTGGTTATTTCACGCTGGTTTTCTGTGAGGCCGGTGGTATCACTCCGGTCGAGCCGACCTATTCGTGCTGAAGCATGGCTCTCCCATGCTTGTGTCTAAATTTGATCGTTATTAAGTAAAAGTTGATTTATAGGTTGTGGGACCTGATCAAGGACGTCGAGTAAGTGTAACGGGAAAGAGCAACAAATGTCTCCTAACAATCTTTCAATACTAGAACGGCCTTGAAATATTATAATTAAGTTTCTTAGTTCCACAATAGTGATTAAATAACACTAAGATACTAATTGAGACGACACACACAGCTGTACAAATATACGTCTTTATATTTAATTTGACGAGACAGAAGCGCGCCATACTGTCGTAAATTACATTGATAGACTTGGCTTTTATTACTTACAACACGCACTAAAAACAACAATATTTTAACATTACAACATTTGATGGCTTTATTCTGAGAAAATTGCGAATTGCGAACTGGTTTTAACGCCATCTAGTAGGTAATAAAGTATAAACCGCATGCTTGTGTTTACCGCCATCTATTAGCGAGTACCGTAACTAATCGAACAGCCTTGAAGGATAAACTGTAAGCCGTACCTATAATTAAAGCAGTTTGTATATACTAACATGTTTTTCCGCTTAGGATGTGTGTTGCAAAAATCCAGTATGGCTGCATGATGAATATTAAAGAGTAAGGCGCTCATTGTTGAATCGATATTGTCCTTTGAAAAAGAATTTAACAACTTGCGAATCGATTTCGCGGTTAATGATACTTCTATGTGTAAACTTTTTTGTGTTACAACGGTAATAGTTTTTTTTCTTAGTATTGCGTACGAACTTACAGATTATAAACCGACATCGACGTACGTCATTAGTTTATTATTGTGTAAAAAAACTAGTTTCAAATGTTAGCTTTGCGGTTTAGATTTGCTTCTATAAGTAACTACTGTTATTGTTTTTATTCATAAAAAGGCTCATTCACTTTAAAGTTTACACATTAAAATTGGATAGAGGCTGAATGATGCGCATACCATTGCCTTAAGTCTTTGACAGTTATTTTCGCGGTATTTTTCTTACGTCATTTTTATATTAGAACATAGTCAAACAAAACAATGTTGGTTGATTTATTTTGTTTGAAAAGTATGTAATTGGTCGGCAAACGAGCAGACGGAATTACCTGATGGTAAGCAATCAGCGCCGCCCATGGACACCCGCAACGGAGGAGTTTCGTTACCGACCTTTTAGGGATTAGGGATTTGGAGATTTAGGGATTGGAGGCGGGGAAGGATTGGGCCTCCGGTTACCTCACTCACACGGCGAAACACAACGCTAAGGTTGTTTCACGACGGTCTTCTGTGAGTCCGTGGTATCACTCCGGTCGAGTTGACCCATTCGTGCCGAAGCATGGCTCTCCCACACTTGTTGGTTGATGTTGGTTGAATTATTTGGTTTGGAAAGTATGTAATAAAAAATGGAATAGGAGGCAAACGAGCAGACGGATCACCTGATGGTGAGTGATCAGCGCCGCCCACAGTCACAGGCACGTCGCCCGCCTTTTAGGAAGGAGCACGGGGAGCTCTTTTCATACTGCCGTATTGTAAACAGCTACCTAGTTTTTTTTTTAATAAAAGTCCACTATTTTTGGACACAGTCTTTGTCGCGATTTGCAATTTGCAATTATACTTTTTGGCACATTTTCTATGTACTTAATGCTTGTATTAGGTAGGTATGTATTTTTAATGTGTAGGTTTTTTTCTAGGAATACCCGTAGTCGTTGTTATTATATAAACTAATTCCATAAAATTTAAAAAGGGAACACTTAATTTGGAACGATGCTCGCCGTGTTTGCAAGTCTAGACAAAATTGTAATTGATTTCAAACTCTTGCGTCGTGAGCTCGCATTTATTCAATTCTCTTCAATTGCTTGAACATATTGTTCATTTAGTACGACATAACATGTATTACTAAGTACTGGATACATTATGAGTCAACATGGCACATACCACATTGTTATTGACTTGTCCTCTTAGTTACGTATTAATAACAAAAATATCGCAAAATTATTCTAAGCTCTGAGCGCCAATTATTAAAATGACCAAAACACTGTTTTCTTTATGGCATAAAGTCGGATAACGAGCAGACGGATTAATTACCTGATGGCTAAGCAATCGGCGCCCATGAACATCAGGTTTTAAATATTTAAGGATTGGAAAGGGATATCGGAGGTGTAGACATTGGGTCTCCGGTAACCTCAACTCTCACGGCGAAACACAACGCTGTGGTTGTTTCACGACTGTTTTCTGTGAGGCTGTGGTATTACTCCGGTCGAGTCGAACTATTCGTGCCAAAGCTTGACTCTCCCACACTTGGAAACTGGAATCTGATTCGAAAAAATCTACAAGTGGACAACGCCATAGCCTCAAAGCTAGAGTTTTTTTAAAAATAAATAAATAATGCATTGTTTCTTATAACGATACGAAGGTCATGTCATTGATTGATATTCGGGATTGCTCCATATTTTTGGCCTTGAATGAGAATCGAAAAACAATATCCATATAGGTACTAGGTATGTAGTGATTGGTTAAAGAAAAATTGTAAAGGACTTTCTTGGTTTAGCTGCGTTATTATCCGCAAACGAGCAGACAGATGCAAGATTTTGAGGGAGCAAAAGGTCGAGACTTTTATGAAAAAAACGAAAATTTTCGATATGAAGACTTGTCTCTTTGAAACGTGAAGGAATTCTCCTGTGTAACTACAGTTCAGAATTTAATAGCGATTTTGCCAATAGATAGTGTGTTTTCTAAGGAAGATTTAAGTGCATTTTTCTATCTTGATCATTCGGAACAGGGGAAAGAACAGGCTGGTTTTTAGTCAGTAAGAGTCTGACACTTACCCAACCCAGGGTTATATTGCGCTTACACTAACGACCTTAGGTGGCTCTACCAGAGACAAAGAGTCAAAACAAAATCTTACCTTGTTATAGCTCTCGTCATGTGAAGGATATGGTGCAACTGTAGGTCCATAACCAATTTTATTATTACGTATCGGAGCTCTCGACAAATGAACAGTTTGCAATCGTTTCTCTTTCTTCTTTTTACTTTCATTGTCAATGCCGAGTTTTTCCAAATCTTCAGCCAAATCATCAGCTTCCTTTGATTCAGTTTTGACCTCTTTGTCAACCCTTTCAACTGTTTCTTGGTCTTTCGTATCTGCAAAGCCGCTGTCTTCTGATGAATGTGAATGGATCCTTTCGTTTCTCGGCTCATCTATAACTTTGAAAGTGAAATTGTCTAGTTCATCTTCCTCTTCTTCATCCGCTGATTTCTCTTTCTCTTTGTCTTCTTTAACCGGCTTTTTGTCTTCAAGGTTCATTTTATCGAAGTTTTCCAAAATGGTTGCCACGATGTTCTTATTCTGAACAGGTTCAGGGGTTTTCGTTTCAACTTTGACTTCTGGGATCTCATTTTTACTTTTCCGTTTCGGTTTCTCTTTCTTTTTAGTGAAAAATGATATGACGAGGGTTTTTAATGACTTTTTATTTGTGTTCTCCATTGGTATTGGTTTTGCTTGTGACTCGCGAGCGCTTCCCATGTTTGTTTTTTCTTTTGTCATGAACCAGGTTTTACATCTGTAACAAGAGAAAAAATGGGTTAACATTCGTCGAAAGGCATTAAAAGATGCAAAGTGACGTAACAAAGAAATGAATTGTAAAACTGATTCAGAAAGAGTAACAATGGACTTCCTCGCTCGTTCTTCTCCATGGGAATCTACAACTACAGGAAAGCGCAAATAGCTTCTAACTAGAGGACAGACCGACAGACTAGACACAAAATTTGAACTTTTTTTTTTAGTTTGACGTAAAAAAGTGCTTGTACAGGTCTATTAGAAAGAAATGATTTGACTTTTTTAAAGTCAAATTGGTCATGACTTTTAGTTTGAGATAGGTGAACGAGCTGATGTACCACGTAAAGCAATCGGTGCCGCATCATTCAAGTGTTAAGCGTTTTGGGGATAGTTTTATTAAGTATGTATTACTTTCGAAGTATAAAGAATTTCTATTTAAAGAAATACGCATTAAAACCAATTCTTCAGCATTTTTTACGCACATAACTATGGACTTTTTCCTCTTCCGCCCACTTCTTACAAGAAAAAAGTTTTCGAACTGAAAATAATGTTTTAAGTAATTGTTTAAAAAGAGGCATTATTTAAGATTTATTTCTTACGAACTATCACTTTTTGAATGCACTGATTGATAAGCATTTGGCTTTTATCCAACAAATAACATTAGCAGGCTACTAATTTATAATATAGTTACGGCAAAATTTATGACGACAATCTCTTTACATGAGCTGCTGTTTACATGTGAACATTAGCTCATGACGATACCTAAGTACCTACGTGTGTCGCCTGGACAGTCACCGCTACCATCAGTTGACTGGACAATCTCTTTACATGAGCTGCTGTTTACATGTGAACATTAGCTCATGACGATACCTAAGTACGTGTGTCGCCTGGATAGTCACCGCTACCATCAGTTGACTGGACAATCTCTTTACATGAGCTGCTGTTTACATGTGAACATTAGCTCATGACGATACCTAAGTACGCGTGTCGCCTGAACAGTCACCGCTACCATCAGTTGACTGGACAATCTCTTTACATGAGCTGCTGTTTACATGTGAACATTAGCTCATGACGATACCTAAGTACGTGTGTCGCCTGGACAGTTACCGCTACCATCAGTTGACTGGACAATCTCTTTACATGAGCTGCTGTTTACATGTGAACATTAGCTCATGACGATACCTAAGTACGTGTGTCGCCTGGACAATCACCGCTACCATCAGTTGACTGGACAATCTCTTTACATGAGCTGCTGTTTACATGTGAACTTTAGCTCATGACGATACCTAAGTACGTGTGTCGCCTGGACAATCACCGCTACCATCAGTTGACTGGACAATCTCTTTACATGAGCTGCTGTTTACATGTGAACATTAGCTTCGCTCTTATGTCAAGAAGGCTCATATTCGGATGATAATGATGCGAAGTCTACCTAAGATAATGTTGTAATGTTTACGCAAATGTTTCTCAGAATTGATTGACCTTGGTACATATTTCCGACCTGTTTTTTGGGATGCTGAGCTATTTTGGACTTAATGTAGCCTGTTAATCTGATAAACATGAGTTGAGTTTTGTCTGTAGCTTTGTTAGCTAGGTTCTGCCTGCAACGTCGCCCGTCTGGGTGAAAAGCCTATGTGTTATTCCAGACTATTCATAATTATCACACATTGTCTGGCCTTTAAAAGAGACGGACCTCTGAGTTTGTTTCGGCATTTCTTCTCATAGTAGCCAGATAGGAACATGCAGACTTTCTAGTTTTTTTTTTTTTTTTTTTTAGATTTCATTCCAATCCGTTCTGTAGTTTTTACGTGAAAGACTTACAAACATCAATCCATAATCCAACCTCTTCTGTTTGGGTTGCGGGTTAAGCGCAATGAGGCACCGCGACCTCGCCCCAGAGCAGGAGAAGTCATTTGATGATTTTCCCCTCCCCAAAAAAAACCTCTGCTGTTTATAATATTAAGTAGGATATCTCCATAGATTATAGTTGCGGGTGTCCATTTGCTAATTGCTTACCATTAGGTAATCCGTCCGCTCTATTTCCTACATCTTACTAATTTTATAAATGTGAAAGTTTGTGACAATTTAAGTATGTACGTTTGTGATTCTTTAACGCAAAAACAGCTCTACTGATTTGGTTGAAATTTAGTATGTAGATAGGTACCCTCGATTAACACAGAGGCTGATTTTCATCAACGTACCACGCGGGCGAAAACGGAGTTTTCTTTTTACTTGCAATAAACTAGTGCTTGACTGCGATCCCACCTGATGGTAAGCAGTGATGCAATCGTTGATGGTAAGGCGCACTAGTTTATTAAGAGCCTATTCACTCTAGCTCTTGAAGACACCTAAATTATATTTGGACGGAAAGACTGCAGCCGGAAAACTGAAAACTGGGTTAAAACCTTTGCTTTACAAAAACACTGAAAGAAAAATATAGTATGCTTTTTGATTGATCCAAACTAATATTATAAATGCGAAAGTAACTTTGTCTGTCTGTCTTTTTTTTCTTCTCTCCTAAACTACTGAACCTATTTGTGTGAAGTAAGTACAGACGTAGTTCGAAACTCGAGAAAGGACATAGGATAGTTTTTATACTAAAACTCTGCAGGAAGTCACTATTCCACGCGAACAAAGTCGCGGGCTAAAGCGTTCTAACTAAAGCTAACAAGAACAAGTTCAAGTTTCAAGTCACTTACTTTAAAACACGATTTTATTTGATTTGATTTCGTGTCATTTGTCTTTTGTTTATTTAATATTGTATGTCAAAAACTTATACCCGTAATGTCAATAATCTTATGACCTTTTTTGATATTGAATTGATTGCTTTTTAACACGCTTTTGTTAGGTCGACCTGTAACGGGTTTGGGAGAGCCAAGCTTATACCACGGCCTCACAGTAAACCGGCGTGAAACAACCACAACGCTGTGTTTTGCCGAGTGAGTGCGGATAGCCCAATCCCTAATGGCTTAGCACAATGTTGTAGTTTTATGGCGTTTACTGTAAGGCTGTGGAAACTTCACTTTGACTTGGGGAGTGATACCAAAGTCATAGTCAAAATCATTTATTCCAACTAAACCATAAATAGGTACTTTTGCCTAGCTTTTTGCTTAGTTGGCGACCCATTCGGATTAGACATGTCTGCCAACTCTGTAGAACTGTATATGATACTGTATATTTAGCGTATTTTTGTTTTTCTGTCTTTTTAACCTTTTTATTGTTTTTTGTGTTGTATTTTTATTTTGTTCTGGCTTTCATGTCTGATGCCGAATAAATGCATTTTCTTTCTTTCTTCTTTCTTTTGAAACGCCAAAATGGAATAATAGCCTGTCAGTCTGTTCGTCAGTGAAGCTAGGTGCTCGGTTCGAGAAGTTAGATTCGAATGGAGAAAAACGAGGAAGAAACTCCGGACTAAATGGCCAATTTATGGCAAAGCACGGTTGGTTATTTGATAAACTGTTACCCATATCTCTTCAAATGATTGCAGTTAAAGACCTAAAAGAAATAAAACATAAAAAAAAATATTAACGAGGTCTCAGGTTTTAAAAGATATAAAATTTCCGCATTGTAATTAACAAATTTGGTGTTTGGAAAACCCATATTATTTGATATAAAACTAATATTATAAAGAGGTAAAATTTATAATCTTGTAAGTTTGTATGAAGGGGGTAATCTTTGGAACCGCTGGTCGGATTGGCAAAATTCTTTCACTGGTAGATAGCTACAATGTTCCTGAGTGCATAAAACATCACGAGAATATAGTTTGATATTAAATCAACATCTAATTTTAATTTCTAAATATATCTGTCCTGTTTTAGTTAGGAAAATCATCTAACGACTTTTTCTCTTCTGCCCAGGGCGCCAGATGTACAAATGCTGAAATATTTAAAACTACGCAACGGATTTTGATGCGGGTTTTTTAATATAGAGAGTGATTGAAGAGGAAGGTTTATATGTATAATAACATCCATTAAATAGTGGAGAAATTTAGTATCAGTATTGCACACACGCGAAGCCTGAGAGCCAGTTTAAGGAATAAACTACTTTTTTATGGTATAAGTCGGCAAACGAGCAGACGGATTACCTGATGGTAAGCAATCGGCGCCGCCCATGAACACCCGCAACAACAAAGGAGTTACGAGTGCGTTGCCGGCCTTTTAGGGATAGGAGTTGCGGATATAGGGATCGGGAAGGGATAGGGGAAGGAGAGGGATTGGGCCTCCGGTCACCTTACTCACACGGTGAAACACAACGCTGTGAGTTACTTCACGCCGGTATTCTGTGAGGCCGTGGTATCACTCCGGTCGAGCCGACCCATTCGTGCCGAAGCATGGCTCTCCCACATTTACTACTACTTATTTATTACATAACAAAATAAGAATTATAGTTAAATACGTTTTAATTTGATAGATAGATGTGTTATTTCCTCATAGATTTTACCCAAGAGCTAAAATAACAGGATAATATTATGTATTGGAATAATTATATATATATATATATATATATATATATATATATATATATATATACATACATACTCAAAGTCTCGCATTTGTTTTATGTTATACAGACACACAGCGCCATCTACAACAATCCTCCGTCACATAATTAACATATCAGTCCACAAGTGCCGACTGCTGAGCAAAGGCCTCTTCTCACACGGAAAAGGTTTGAGATTTCTTACTTAGAATTACAAATTATAAGACCAGGTTTCCTTACGATGTTTTCCTTCACCGTACCTATGTCAGTGGTGTCTAAATAATCATATAAAGTACATATAACTCGGAAAGTCACATTGGTACTTCCCAGGTTTCGAAACCGCACCCTCAAGCAAGAGCGCCTTAGCCAGCTCCGGGTTAAGGCGCTTGGAAAGTAGCAATGAGGCACCGCGACCTCGGCCCAGAGCAGGAGAAGGAACAGGGGGGTTTTTAGTCAGTAAGAGTCTGACACTCCCTCCGCCCTGCCCTGGGCGGGAGAAGTCATTTGATGATTTTCCCTAACAAA